TGAACTTGGGTCCAGCAATGACTGTTATTTTTTGCGTATCACACGCATTGCTTCGTCCTAGAGTGGAAAAGGCCGCTTTAAAACGTCTAGGATGTCTTTTTTAAATATCCATTTACTTCCTCTTTTATTTATTGAATATACAAATGTACAGTCAACATTCAGGAAGGGGGCTTGAGAAGACGGGCTGCGGTGGAGCGGTTCGAACCCGGGACTCCCAGGTCACAAGTTGGTGACCTAACCACTTGGTAACCACCGTGATGCTTTCATTTTTTCACTTCACTGAATGCAAACGAGTACACATGTACTGCTTGTTAAACGCGTTGTGACACGGTATTGGGAAAGATGGCTTTCCGCACTGGAATTGTCAGTGAGTCATTTCTTCTTGTCTGCATGCACGTACCGAGCGGGATGACAGCCGCCTTGTTCTCGACGTATCCGGGGGCAGTGGTTATCAAAACGTTTGCGTCCTAACTCCCGATGGCTCTACAAAGCCACGACGAAGCGTTGTATGCTGCACGCTCGTCTACCGTCCGACAATCTGCGCCTTCGGTTTTCAATCGATCGATAAAANATCATTGACCTCCGTAAGCCATTCGCACCCGCTTCGGCTTGGCGACGGGACCCTGTCCGATCCAGCGCTCTGATTCGCTGAGGGTATGGTAAACTAGCCAATCGTTGATCCGTTCGCGCAATTTTGATTGGCTGTCTCTCGCGCGGAACGTACGCACGTGTGCGTATGTGAACATGCGCATGGCAATTGTTGTGTGTCTGTGTTCCAAATCTGTGGGTATTCCGACTGCGAGGCTAGTGGGACACACGAGCACAGGCAGGCGAGCTGGCATGTAGACCAGCCGCAGCAGCATCTTTCTCCAGTCGCTGTTGTTTGCTATGACAAGTCGGTCGTTTGCACACACGTGCACATGCGGTTACGGTGCTCTTGAGGCGGAATCGTTGTTGTAGGCAGAACCCATCGTTGCACATCCATGTATGCAGGCTTAACTATGTGTGCGCATGCGCGAGTTTTCGACCAACACTGCATGCATGAACACGAACACCACCACCACCGAATCCAAATGCGCTACACATATCCGCGCGCGCGCGCGCGCGTGCAAACACGAACCGGACGGATGGTGATAATCGCCATATAAGCCATCGGACAGCGTGTTGTAGGCACTGAATCTGTTATCGGCCCTCAACGTCCTGTTGTAGTGGTGGTGCGCACAGTGCAGCACTCCAACATGTTCATCTGCTGTCTACACATGATGCTCATTCCGCCACACTCTTGTGTTCCCACTTGTTCAGGCCCTCCTGCGTTATTCCGAAGCCGCTCAAGAAACCCGAAACGCATGTGCGGTCACATCGAAAGAATTGGGCGAGGAGTTTGCGGAATTGCTAGATGCATTGAAGGCGGTGAGTTTTCGTTGTTCTTTTTTGCACATCTTACTTGACATTTTTTTATCGGCCTGCTTTCTTTCCACAGTGACTTCAGTTAGGTGTTCACGTGCAATTTCTTAAAGGTTATGATAAATTCTAAGCTATTTGTATCGGGAAAAATAGAGTTCTGATTGCTTCTCGGTATTTCTGATTCAGGTGTCGTTGCATCTTCAGAATCACTACATTGACTTGACAGATATCGTTTTCATCAATAATTCCACTTGCAACGTCTAGTTACGATCTCACATTGAACAATGTATAATATGAATTTTAATCTGACAGCTTTGAAAAATAACAAAAGTTCTTTGTACACGCATCTTACCAATGTCAAACTGCGTTTGGATATCTCCTTGGGGTAATCAGACAACACTGGGCATATGTCGTATTGAATAAATACCGTTTAGTATTGTTGTCTCTTTGAGAGTCCTGTTTGACAATCCTTTGTGTTTTCATTTTCCCCTTGAGACGAGCTCGCTTCAAATTGCTTCCTTTTGGGGATGAGTTCGTTTTTGCTCTCTCGCTTGGTTCGACGCATTCCTGCTGTTTGTTCGCTCGCGGCGTCTGGTGCTTATTCTCGGCAATCTCCGTTGATTGCCTCGAGTGTGACTCATCTGTCTCTGCCGTCTGTCGATCTTTCATTCTGTGTGTGTGTGTGTGCGCGCGCGTTTGTTTCGCCCATGCTACCGAACGCGGTAACCGTTTCCGCCGTACGTTCACCCCCCACGGACTGCCTCATCCAAGTCTGTCTTGTCAACCCAGTTTGCCAGTCATTCAACCACCAACTTCGGAGTGACTCAGTTCGGTCCGGTCCCGTTAAGGTCAACCCGGTCCTTGCGTCCAACTGGCCAGCGGGCACGCGGACAGGAAAAGAACTCCATCACTAGAATTGTAGACCCGACCTTAGACAACCCGTTCCACTGACGAAAAGGATCGAATTTCCGCACACCCGTTGGACCGCTACTTGTACACGCATACACACCAAATTTGTTAAAATCCAATAGGAGGGGGGGGGGTGAGGAGAAGGAGAAGAGGACACTGTTATCGATTATTCGCGTGACCACAGCGTCCACCATAATGGCAACATTAGTTGTGTGAGTACCCAAATATCAGATTCTCACAGACCTTTGGAGAAAATCGATGAAACTCGACAAAATTAACCAAACTCAGGAAAATCGGACCTAGAAGTGCAAGTAGCTAGTATCCCTCGGGTTCACGCTGTAGGTGAATTTCGTGATTACAGCTTGTGATTATAGGCTCCAGACCACGAAGGATTTACTCTTTACTATCACGTTTTCCCCACTTGTGTCCATGATTACGCGTTCAGTTTGAAGATCTGCGAAACCAACCGTTCAACAACCCTTTCTAACCCTGCTGTCATGCTTTCGATCGTCTCTGTTGTTCGGATGTGCCATTTTTTTTATGCTACGCATGTACACAACCACCCTGAGCAGTCAACTAGATTCACAAATTCTAAATAGGTTTCCGTGAGTTCACCTTTGAACGTTAAAGCTTAACAATCCACATTCCTCAATTAAATCACGGACCCATTTTCTTTTTGCAAAGATTATTCTACTGTAGCTGTTTGACTCAATATGGACTCAGATGTGTGAAATAACGTAATAATAAGTATATATATATATATGTTGGATTGCTTCATTTCATGCCCCCGATGGACATCTTCCCACAGACTCTGCTTCCGGATTGCCGAGCGGCTGATCGGGAACGAATTCCAAACTCAACTCGACGGATCGCCGATCTGTCGCATACGCTGTTGAATTTGCTTGATGGCTTACGCGGTAAGCACCCCCCCCTCATCTCTTGTTTTTGTCCTTGTTTCCTTCCCTGTATAATTGTCACCAATGGAATCTACTGGAAAGTTGCGTAGGATTTTATTCGCGCGTGTGTGCTAAAATGATCGTATGTCGTTTTCAGTGCCTCGTCGAGCCAGGATTCATGTGGGAGATTGCTATGAGATAGATATCTCAGCATCATTCCGACCTTGTGTCACGAAAGTGGGTGGATCTTCCTAAAGAACCACGGGTTTCAAGAGATGAGACACTCCAGTGACACTAACATCCGCGTCCCGAGCTAGAATCGCTCAGCATTATTTATGTCCAATGACCTGATGTATTGGGCTCATACTTGAGGTTTTTTCCCAGTTTGTATTCTATTCTAAATGGTCAATTCAAAACTACATTCTGATTATGTTTGCATTAGGATGTGTTCACTGTTTGGAGGTAAAACAACAAGTTAGTGATCGTACACCTGAATAAGTAGATTTTAGGGGCTTGTTTATACTTTCAATGCTTCAGGGTATACGTCCCATAGCATCAGAGACAATGGTAACAGGATTCTAACCAGTGCTTTTATTGTTTTATTATTTTGTCGCTCTGTTCATTCTTCGATCGTTTTTTGCACTAAAATGTGAGTGGACATTGTAATTTATTTTCTTGTCTAATTAATTGATCGTCCATTCCTTTCATTCTTTTTTCCTGTTCCCTCCTGTTCACGCTTATTTGTGAATATACAATTGATTGCTTTTGGGGTTTGTTCTTGTTGTGGTTGTCACCGCACGTTTTTAATCCCGGAATCGCTCTATATGTGTGTTCGCTTAATCCTCCCTCTTCCGGGTCATTGTTTGCGGCTCCTGTTTTGTCCGTCTGTGCCACATTTCCACCTATGACACGCATGCGTGCATACATGCATGCCCGTTTTATTTTCTTTGTTCTCTTCTTCCATTGGTTCTTTCTCTGGTGAATTGGTTTATGAACTCCGGAACTGGCAGAAGGACCACGTCTGGTCATGTACTTCCGTGCCAGTAGTCCCGAATGTGAGTATTCCGTCCTGCACGTGTTTTTGCATGTTTTTACTCCTCACACATCACTCCTCTCCGATAGTTGTTCACATTTGGGTGTTCCTCCGTTTCATCCCTTTCTGATCTCGGTGTCCCGTTCCATTTGTGCAAAATTGTTCGTGCTTGTTCTTACCTTAGTGTATATGATCTAACCCCCTCCCCCTACGTTTTGCTTGTCTGAAAAGCAACGACGTATTCACTTATCAACCCTAATCCAATCGCATTTTTATGTGGCTTTTGAAGAAAACTGGATGTGCCTTGTTATCGTATCCTCGCCATTCTCTCTCTCTCTCTATCTGTGCCGTTTTGTGTGCGCGTTACCCTGTTTCCGTTCTCGTTAGTTTCTGCATGGTGTACAACCCACTCTGTAAGTAGCCTCCTTTTCTTTCTTATTCTTCACAGGGCGGGATGTTGCCGAGAAGTTCATCGGACGTCATGTTGCCTATCATCACCACTATGTGCCCAATTATACAATCGGTGAGTGAAAACAAGTCCGATTTTGTTTAGGGTCTTGTGTCAGATGAAATCCCAAACGCGGTTGGCAATCAGTCACATTTACTTGTTCAGTGATTGTGGTGAATTTATTAGTAAACTTGGTGTAATATGGGGGTGTGAGTGAAGAAGCAGTGTAATCATCATCATCCTCGGCAGAGATTGGAATGTATGACTTGGTTCAGGTTGAATCAACGTCCCTCAGTTGAGCATAAAGTGATTGGTTTCGTGTACCGCCAACTGTAATGAACAAATTTTTTTCCATATGGCGTATTTAATAGCAAGTCACGTGGTGCTCACAGGGCTTATTATATTCAGCGTATGTCGAGCACCTGAGGAACCATGGCGTTTTGTTCAGCATCCAAGTTTGTTTTAACTCAACCATAAAATAAGCACTTCCGTGTCTGCTACGCACGCACGTTAATTTACATCTGCCTCATCAAAGCTTTGAAAATTCAACTAATTTCACTTATTAGGCGATTTTCGTCATTGTGCCTGGATGATGTTGGTGATCCAGCGGATTAACGCGTTGCTACCCTGGTTCCCAAGATACTAGGTTCGAACCCAGCTATCACCATAGAACTTTGATGGTAGGCCTCTTTACTGCTGTCCTGCTCAGTACCACTCACAACCCAGTGAGACCTATGGTTCACCTGTCCAAGTCCCAGAGCCTAATTTTTCGGTTTTCATGACTGGACAGTCGGTCACCGTGATTCCCCTTCTACTGTTCATCACGCAGCGGTGTGTTGAGCAAGTAGATGCTGTGATTGCAAGAATTTACTGCTGTTTGACTTTTTTGAATCAAAGTGAAGAACTTAATCTGACTGAACTTCACTAATCGCTGCCAGACCTTTGTTCTCGAACTTTGATTTACTTTCAATCATTCGGATCGTGTGATTGTTAGCCATTTTATGGGCGACTGTTGTTCTGTCATTAATATCGCAAATGTTCGTCACGTACTTTGTTTTTCGTTGTGTTATGATTTTGGGAAACTCCGTTTTGCCGGTTAGGTCATCGCAACATTTGACCCGTCTGATATCTGCAGCCTCGGAGGCATTTTACGGGCTTCGTTTTTCTGTTAATCTCCCCCCAGACTTGGCATGCAGTCCGAAATAAACAATCGATTTTTCCGAACCTTTACTTTCTGTCTTTTTGTCTGATTGCGAAATCAATTATTGACTTGTATCAGCGATAGTGTGCAGTTGGCTAGTTTACGACTGGTCACGTGTCAGTTCAGTTCGTGATCGATCAGGATGGTCGATGGTTAACCAAATATGGATCAAAAGCAAGGTGCATTCGATTTCCAGGATAGATTATAGTCAGAAAACCATCCTCTGCCACACGCCTCCGACAGCGATTTATTATTAACAGTACGTCAGAGCTGGCTAGAGATAGTGCATCACCACACCCGTGAAACGATGTTCTCGTCATGTCTTTCACCTACATCAGTTGTCGCATAAAAGCCGCCGAGAATTCCCTGAAAAATTAAACAGTTAAGCTATCAAACCGGATTGACTTTAACCAACATACTATTAGTTCCATTCATTATTGGTTTCCACTCTCTGGTCATTCATAATATCCCCGTGGTGTCGGATACACTTCAAAATCAATTCAATGTTTATCACTAACTCCTATCGGACGAATGAACTCGCTCGGCAAACAACGAGCGAAATCGTTTGCTCACGCTCGTCGTAACGCGATTGAAACTCGGGGATGACAAAACAATCGTTTCTGCACTCCAACCCTTGGTTTTTCTGCATTTCATTGTGCACAGCTAATTACTTACTTCCGTTCATCACTCTCTTACAGCTGGTCCAGGCTCTGTACAACGCAGTGTCTATATCCGTCCCACATGCTACCCACTTCGGTTGCCTCACGACCCAACCGGTGTGAACGGGGCTGACGGGGCGTCGGAAGCGGAGGCGGAGTCACGAATCCAGTTGGCGATTCAACAACTGGACCAAGCTTTGTCAGGCTCGGACGAGGTGGGTGCTCTACTCGATACTTTCTATCCCGTTTTCCGCCTAAACTGTTCGTCTAATAATATATGACTATTCGGTCAGACTGGTGAGATATGTTTGGGTTACTTGGTGTCGAGGTTGCCACGTACTACCCCGTTGGATACACACCAGTGACCAAACATATTCTCATTGGTCGGCCCTAATCGACCACAAATGGAACGCTTCCTTTCATATTCTCGCTGAACTTGTCACTGCCCAACAACAAGGATTCTTGCTTAACCGTTTCATGTCAAGTCTCCGCAAATTTATATGGGGATTACAAGTTTCTCAACGTATGCTGATTTGACAAACCCATTCATCAGCAGTGCTGATTGATACGTTTGAATGTTCCTTCTAGCTAGACATGATGTATGCGCTTTTTCTTTGCTTGCTCCCTGATTCAGAACCAAAAGAGTGGGGCTGCCTTACTGCGGGAAGCTCGTTCTGTCGCACAGGCAACGCAAAATCTGATTCATACAGCCCGATCAATCGGTCTAGTTCCCGCCTCAGAAGCAGCTGATCGAGCGCGTCACGCCCCGCGCAGCTCAGCTTCACTGTGGCGTACGGAATTGACCGTGTCATTGGCAACACAACACATGTGTCAACTATCACTGTTGTGTTCTGAAGCGTTACGTGATGAACAAGCCCTGCACGGTACCGGTGACACCGACTTGAACGAGTTGTTTGGTACTTCGATGCGACTGGTACCCTCTCGAGAGCGCCTTCTGGCTGCGGTGCGTAAAGTGGCTGCTGCTAGCGCCCAGCTGTTGATGTGGGCAAAAGCACGGAAACTGTCGTATGCCACGACTGATATCAGGAAATTGCAAGTAAGTTTCCTCGTCCTGTCGCTTATCGTTCTCCGGCTACCGACTGCCTAATTTGGGAGCCGCTCCCCCCTTCCCTTTAGGGTGCTTCATCTGTTGATCCACACCGCTAATTGCCGATTTCCCGGTTTATATAACTGTCAGCTTATCAGTGTTATGACAGGATAGGTCCTCTTCATCACGCATGTACTGTTTTGAGCATACTTTAATTGAGTAGATATGGTCAGTGAATTTGTTCTGGAATATGGAAGCGGACAATCTCAAGGGCTGCTATGGGTACGGCGAAGTTGTGCTTGTTATGCACGCCTTTCGCTTACTAGTACTGCTAGTTGAACTGTTCAGGTTGCTGTCCTTCATTTTCGTGACCATCAAGAAGAGACTACACCCCAGTCTAGTTTGATACCTTGTACTCCTCTTTGATCCATAAAGAGCGAAGATCCGTGGTCGAAGTGTAGTCTCCTGATCCTCATGCTTGGGGGTCCGATTCTAGTTGGCGTCTTGGTCAAACGAATTGATGACGGAGTAATCGATCGACCGATAAGTGCCTTTACCCGCTTCAGTGCGGTTAGGTTCTGTTCAGAACCGAAGACTTAGGTTGAGAACCCAAATCGTTCTCCGGCTTTTGTTTGGAATCCTTAGCAGTACCTATCCATGAGGCTGCAATAAACGCTATAACTCAATTTTGGCGTATCAGCCATTTCAGCCGTGCTGCGCTGAGCTAGATCACCGTACAGGGGTGAGGTTTTTACGAACACTGACGTGGATAATGCTCATAGTCACGTGGATTTACTAATTCAACTTCAATACTGACAATCTTAGTCCTAGCAATGCAATTAGAACCCCTCTCCATTCGATGTTCCTGTTCAGTAAACTTGTGTTTGTGTCGATGGTGCCTATTAGTTCATCTTTTTCTCCGGCGCACACCCTTCGTTCTGGCACCACCGATTCCAATATACAGGATACTAGAATCAAGTTGAGATCATATACGCCCCGGTAATCTGAAATAAACTTCATTACTTAGCAACTCAATGATAAATTGGGATGTTTGAATATCATTGACCAGTCATTCCACGTTGGTTTGAGCCTGTTGGGGCCTTATGTGGTTCGCCACTCCGGGGCTTGGGTTACCGGTTTCTATCACTGAACAGCAGGTGCTCGTCCCTATGGGACTTTCCCCGTCTGCTGTTCATCGCACGAAAGTGTGTAATAAAAAATTGTGATTTTTTTGAATTTCCAAATTTGCATACTACTTCACCCTGACGTTCAGAATTTCTGTTCGCCTGAAGCTCTGTTGCAAACCCGTTTTGCCCAAGGTTTACTGGTCGGAGTTGAGACTCAGATTTCCAGGTCTATTAACCACGCACCATTGGTTTTGAAGACAATGTGACTCACCGTGAACTATACATTCCGTAATTTATGACCGAGTTGTTGCATCTTTAAAACCGCGTGCTCGACGCGTACTACATTTTAATATCCTTCAAGGACTACATCCGCTTATTTGGATTGCGTGATATCAGTTTCCGCACGCATTAACTGTTGCGTCTCGCTAATGTTATTGGTCAGTGTGTGTGCGGCATCTCATGTCCAACGACCGTGATTGGTTGATGGGTGAGTGAAGTTGCGTGCGCTGAGTGTGCAGAGCGTAAGGCGCTGTTGCTCAGCCACAAACTATGAAATACATGCTGCATTGGTTATCTTCCTTTCACACCACCTTTGTTTGTGCCTGTTGCCCCGTTCTGTTGATCATCCAGGCTGCGGGTCAAGCCGTCAAAGAGACCACGGATAGATTGTCAATGGCTGTACAACAGGGCGACCTGAACATCAATCCCGAGGAACTGTATCGATCCGCTCATATGACATCTTCACTTCAGGTGGGTTTTTCTTTGCCTATTCCAGCATCCCCCTTACAGTATTGACTGTTTATGCCATCTGTACCAAAGTCCGTTCGATTTCAATTTCATCACCTTACCTCATCCCATCAATCCCATGCATATTGCACACAGATATTCGATCGAGATGTATTTGTTTAGTTTCGGACTTACGATATGTAACAAACTCCATGAATTAATGATACTGACGGATTGGGAGGTTAACTTCATACGAGACGAGTGCTGTTGTTTCGAAAATGCTCACTCAGTTCCGTTTTGTGTGTTCGGTAGAGTGATGATGCAGGGTTCATTATGTAAAGATAAGGTATCATTAGACCTGAATGGCACAATAAAACATATTTATTTCTACCATTCCGTACGTAACAGAATTCAAATTTCTCCAAGCGACGGTGAGTCAGTCTCTAACATCGCCACAAAAAGCGGCATTTGGGCGCTTGGTTTCACATTTTTCAACTTTTATTTCCTTGTTACTATTCCCCCTCCCTACGGACCCCAAAACTGGTTCCATTTGTATCTGTTCTCCCCATTCACAGGGTGTGATTGATACACAAGCCCAAATCCGCACTCAACGCTCGGAGCTGGATGCTCTGGAACGCCAACTGGCTCATTTAGATTTGGAACAGCGACGGGCTCATCCCGCTTTGTTCGATGGCGAAACGTCTTGACTCCCTGGATTTTCCCCATGATTTTCATCCCCTCAGTCGTGGTCCTACTCACTCCTTTCATTCATTCTTATTGTACATAGTCTATTTCCGTCCAGATCTGAGTAATTCGGAGCATGCTACCTTATTTAATACCTTGCCTTGCCACGATTTGTTGTGTTTTTTTGCCTTGGCTCGCGAGATTTCTGGTCCCTTTTATCACTTCACCCCAGCTGCGTTCGTTACCCCGATTTATTCGAATGAGAAGGACCACATTACAGATACTTAGTTCTATTATCGTGCCCCCTACCATTGCTTTGTTTCCCTAATCCCCCTCTTACATATTGCTTTTACTGTGCTCATCCAACACCACCACCTCAACAACCTGACAACTCACTTTTTTTCTTTGTTAGCGCCGTTTTTGCGATTCTATTTGGCCTTGTCCTCTTAGTGCTTTCGTTTGATTGGTCGATGAAGCGAAACAGACCGGTTCTGTGAACAAAATCTGTCGTTTTTCTCCTCTCCGAACTGACATGGTCGCCTAATGCTAATTGACTCCTTCCGGTTCTCATTATCAGTTCTACTTTTCTCTCCCGTCCCTGATTTTCGGTTTGTTGCAAAAAGATATAGCTACCCCACACACAGGAAAGATTGACTACAGCCATCCACCTCNATGGGTATGCGTGTTCGAACGCTCATCGGGGTTCGTTGTTGTCGCTGCCACCGCTATGAGCGCTGCACTTACCCTCGCCGCTCTCTTATTTCTTGCCACGGCCTACCACCGCCACCGTGTCTTGACCTCGAATGCCTCAGCGCGTACAAGCCTGTATTCTCTTTTGGATTGGATAGTGGATTTTTCTTCAATGATAACTAACGCTATCATCTCTATTATCTTTATAGTCACTGTTATTTTTCTCTTCTCTCTCTGTTGCATATTACTACTATCGTTATTAGTGGTATGAATCGTCCGCGAGCACCTGCCTTTGTTTACACACGCATCGTTCATTTCTGGTTCGCTGTCTGGATGTCATCAATATATGGATAAATATATCTACCATTTGCTTTTTGATCACAGCTTGGTCTTCTTTCTGTGTCAGAGTACTATCCATACACGCCGTGTTTTGGGGCTCCCATTAATAATTCGAAGAAATTATTTTCGGCACGGTGATCATTCGGCCCAAAACTAGGACTCCTGAGGAAATCAACCGACTGTAAGGCCTTGAAGTGATGCTGTATTCAGAAGAGCAGTTAACTTTACCAGGATATCGCCTGCGACAAAATAGACAAAGGATCGTACTGTGTACAAGCGTCAGTTTTTAGTGTCAAGTTCAAGCTGTCCTTCAATATTTGTGCTTTTTTCACAGTCTGACCAATACACTGATCAGTTGGTTCGTTTGGGAGTGGTTGGTCGTCTCTAACCATATACACCGTTGTGAAGTTAATCTAACGTTTATTTCGACTTGTGTATTCTACACGATTCTAACCATTTCAGAACCCGTTCGGTCTGTTCTAGTCCCGCATTAGAGATTAGTCGCGACGAGTAGCGTTGAACACCAGCTGGAGGACCGATTTGTCACATCAAAGTAGTACTGGTCAGACCTGAGCGTGAGGCATCGACTTACTGTCGGTAAATGGATTTCAGGACTTTTCTTGGCGGTCGGTTTTCGTACACCGGCAAACAATGTGGCCAGTGCGTCGCAGATGAATGTGCTCATCCGGGTTTGTCAGTGTTGTGAATAATCGACCATCACTCGAGTCTGCTCGAGGACAATAAATTGTTGTATGCGCAATGAGTGGCTGTCTGTTTTTGTCCAATAAAATGAAGCTGAGCGTGATCTCCCTGACGCGGGTTCATGATTTATCATAGGGTAGAGAAGTGAACTTCGTTTCGTCACTACCAAGCTCGATGTATACAAAGTAAGTGAGAATGTACAGGAATTGGGCTTAATTTGAGGAAGGCAAGGAAACCGAACCTCTATGATCAACACGGAATACACAACTTAACTGTGGATGCATACATTTCTTAGCGTTCTGGCTAGATTAGTAATGGCAACAAGAATGCCACTGCTGTCGGTTTGCCACTATATCCTTCGGTTTCAACCAGTTTCAGTCTTTCGAACATCAACCTGGAAGACGGACGATACTGCTCTTCATATTTTTCCATGCCTCGTTCCCACGTTATCTGTCGACCTCCTCGTGGTTTCCTCCAACCAGTAGCGGTAACTGCAAATAAGGCGCGGTGCGATAAACGATAACAGGACATGCGCAAAAGTCGTCCTTACCAGCGAAGGTGAATTCGATGCGATAACGATTTCACCGCATCATGACCAAACGCTTGACAGCTCACCCCAGTGTTGCTCACACTTTCCTATCATTCGAATTACGTAAACATCGACCGCGGAAAACTTCTGGTCGATGAATATCTTCCATACTCAAATTTAGGATCTCGCAATCCTGCACTTTAGCTCAGTAAACGCGACCTTTAAGATTCGAAGAAACATTAAGCCGGCTCCAACGGCGTTACAGTCTTGCGTAAGTTGCTCTAGCTTTGGAAATGCGGGCGGTTACTTTGACTACCCTACTGTCATTTGTCACGCAACTATTTCAGTGGGAAGAACAATCCACTATTTTACTAATTCTTGACCATCAAACATCGGCACCGGGATTATTTAGAGCTTTCAGGTTGCAAAGCGCATATCAAATGGAGTACACAACTTGAAAGTCTGTTAAGAGCACTTTGCGCATCCTCCATACGTTCGAACAGATAAATGATGTTAGTTTACTTCAAATAGGCCGGATCTTCTCCAGCTCCCCATTCAGTACCAACTACTAAGTACGTTCTCTAGTATTTCGTCTACGGCGAAGTTGAATAGGAATAGGGGAATAGGGCATCCCTGACATACATCGCTCCCGGTCTACGAACGATTTGCTTAGCTCACCGCAGACCCTGACGCTACCCGAGGCTGAATGCCTCCAGTGCAGTGATCGCAATAGATTTACATACATCTGCGGTATTCCTTTGCGAAACAGTGCATGCATTAGGGATTCACCGTTAACTGAACACTGCAATTGTTGATCGGCGGTGTGTATGGCGTCATTCGAGGGTGAAGATTTGTTTGATACAACAGCGACCAGGTCGGAATCCTGCTTGTTGTTCGAGGATATTCACCTCCATTAAGCTTGTCAGGCGTGCTACTTCAATATCACGGATGTCAACACTTTTCTGATGATCGAAACTAGACTTATCCCACGGTGGTTTGTGTAGTCGTTGCGTGATCCCCTCTTGAAGATGGAAACGATCAACGATTCACCCTGTTACGACCAGACGTTGCAAATTAAGCCACTATTCGAGCCGATGAAAGGGTCATCCACAGCTTGAAATTGATGGGCGAAGCTTATCAAGTCCCGTTGCTTTCCCTTTCTTTAGCGGTTGAATGTCACCTGATACCTCTGGTTCTGTTGGACGCTCACATGTTACTACCCATGGAGTGTTCGTTCCAGTCGCCGAATAACTGCAATAACACTCGACTAATTAAACTGTCCACTAAAATACTCTGATCAGTGATCAAGTCGCTGTTCTTTATTGTGGATGTTCTGTCCACTTTTGTCACAAATGGCTTCACCAGCCGGTATACAACGACCTCCTATGCAGTGTATCAGGTGAAACAGACATCGGCTATTCCCTGATCATTTCACTAGCTATTGTGGTCTACGATCTTTCTTAAGGATTTTCCAAAGCTGATGTTGCAGACGCCACCGGTTCCGTTGTTGATTCCGGCAGATTGGGATCTTTCACTTTTGTTTCATTCCGGATACCGAATTCTGAAAGGTCGAATATCTTCGACTAACTTCGGGCGTCGTTCCGCGTGCAAAGTTTGCTTCCGAATGCATTACACGTCTGATTTGATCTCACTGATAGTCTACTCCACCAACTCGCTTTAATCCTAGCTCCTGTTCAAGCTGCTCCTCATAACGTGTGCAAACAAATGGATCGCACAGGCAATAATGAACTAACTGACGTAATTTTGGACGATGGGTCGAAGCGTGAAGCGCGTAGGAACTAGTGCGTGATCAGATTCAACGCAGGTGGTCCAAATGGGATATGCGAGTTTGCACTGAACCATGCCAACGGTAGCCTACAGCTATGTACCCACCTAACTTTACTGGGGTTGGCTCCTTGTGAAGGACAAGCCGGCTCCAGACATGATCATGATGAAGATCATTGAGTTCCTTGGGAGTTTCGTACGAGAGACGTTCCCAGCGTCACTCGGTGTTTTTTACTTTGAGGGCGCACCTCTAGCTTTTGCACAACCTATTGCGAACTGCAATGCAGCATGAAGTAATCTTTCGCCTCGGATGTGAGGAGGTCAATGACTTTAGTTTTCAAAGGCCATTCACATCGATGTTTGTTACGACACCGTCATTGGGCTAATGCGGATTTTAAACAGGAGCCAGGTAATCAGCCTGAAACCCACCACACCCTGGTATTGCCGGCGCTGTTTGTTCACGACTGCTTATTTATTCCGATATGCCACAACTTATTCACAACTAACTTTCTTCGGTGAAGGTATCCCCCTATCCACAACCCGGAGACGCGCCTAGTAGCATTCAGCTCTGCTTAATCCAGCTATGTGATCAACTTCGGGTCAACTTACCCGTTGAAATAGGACACCATGTTTCCGTCCGTCGATCGCCGTGTTGGGAGTTGGTGCTAGATAAGAACAACCGATGATCCGCGCGGTTGGCCGCTTTCTTCTGTCCTCTGGGCGGGTAGTGCTGAGCGGCCTTTTCCCTAGACCGGCTTCCGACACACTCAGTTTTGCACCCAACGATTTAAAATCACCTGTCCTTTTTTGAATTGCGACTGAAGTTGGTTGGTGCATATGCGGAAACGATGAACAGTAACCTTTTGATGTTGCTGCCCTTCCGAACAGTAACTGAACCCTGGAGTCTCATTGTGTACAAACGATTATGGACAGGCATCCTAACTATCAGTTAAGCCCAGTTATATGGCTTCCGGCTCC